AACTTCAATCATCTCTCGGAAATCATCAACAACTTTACCATCAATCTCTGTGACAGCATTCATAGCTTAGGTAGGCAAAGTGTCCATCATCATTAAATGATACATGAGAGCAACATACCAATCTGCAGGTATCAGAATCAGTTTCACGATACGGAGTTCGGTCTAGACCTGCCTCTATTGAAAAGTTCCTGAGATACTTCTGTTTATGAATTGACGCTATACAAATAAATGATTGAATTGAATTGATACCAAGGTTTAAAAGCCGTTTAACATTGGCCAGGTTTTGGATTATTAGTTACATATTTTTGTCTTACAAAGCCTCTGCAGCCAACCTCAACAGGCAGACACCATTATCGGTTCTGGTACTCGTCTACAAAGGGACAAGTTGTTACGCACAAAGAAAGAAGTTCTCAAACAAACATATTATTTGGTCAATTTTATTGAGACACAATCCCACCATTTTGAATGTTTGGGTTCTTTGGACACATATTTAAAAATTGGTACCATTGGTAGATGAAGCTGAACAAGAGTTATATGTTCGTATTTGGGTATTGCTTATATTTTGTCTGTAATTGGTTACCAAACTTTGCCCAATGGCATTGCCCGATACACTAAAGGGGCCATCAGTCCTTAATGCTCAATTGGATTGTGAACCAACATTGAGAATGTTGTACATAAAGCTGCATTGCTCATGTGTGTAAGATTTTAAACAATTCCATCGACAGTAGCTCCACAATTATACTAAGTCAGAGGACAGGACAGATACAGGACAGAGGTCAGTGCTGTATACACAGCAGAGGTCTGTACTATATATCCAATTAATATAACTGTAACAATAATGATATTATTAATATTACCCTTTATTTCACAGTTTTAGTTAAGTCCAATAATTTGACAGTAATGAAGTTCAGTTCAGTTAATGAAGATTTGATTGAGTCCATTTGACAATAGTACCTAAGTTACAGAGGACAGAACAGATGCAGGATCGAGGTCAATGCTGTAGATACAGTGCATAGGTCAGTGCTGTACATGTAGATCAAAGGACAGTACTGGCTATATGACTCATATAATAGTAACACTAAAGATATTATTATGATGAAGTTCAATAATTTGACACTAATTGTCAAATCCCATCTTTTGTAGGTAAATATGCATACGCGCATTTCACCGCCATTTAGGGAATGTTTTTGTGCAAAGCAACTGTCTCCTGTATAGAGAAAGCTCTGGCTTACCTAGAACACCTGCTCATCTAGAAAAGCTGTTTACTCCCCTGACAACTATTTATTTTACTGATGACTCTCTTGTTTCTGCTCAGATTCTGTCAGGTTGGTGGGAGGATCCAGTCGCTGTGCAGGAACTCTAGAGATGAAACGAGGAGAATGGAGACCATTATATGCCTCTAACTGGACCCTGAAGTCAGCAGTAGTAGCATGCAGAGAGCTCGACTGTGGCTCTGCTGTTTCAACAGAAATCAGAAATGAGTCCTCAATCAAATCTGTGTGGCAGAAGAGTTCTGACTGTGTCCAGTCTGGATCTGCTATGAGGGAGTGTGTATCATCAGGTTCTTCTTTGTGTATCCTGGGGATTACCTGTTCAGGTTAGCCCATCAGTGACATTATCTAAGACAGTAATCTTATTATAAATGTACTGTCACATGTTCTCAGTTACAATCTCCTTATTTGGTAGGAAATGCTGAGAATGCTGAGACTCAGAGGTCTGCTCAGCAACATGACAGCTGTTATATGTTTGTATCTAAATCATAATTGTAGAAAATCTACAGCGTTGATATTTGGCATCTAGGCTGTGACCTGCCACCAAGTTCAGCACAAAGGGAGTGGGGGAGTGGCCCCCCAAGTTGTCTTTGACACAACCTGATATTTAGACTGAGATATTTTTCTGGCTTTGAAAAGACATCAGCAAGCTCTTGTAGTGTGAACTTAGCATTAAAAATCTCTGAATCTAAACTGTTTGTTATGAGATGTCTTTCTCCTAATGCATAGAGTCACAAATAACTAATAAATAAATAAATCAGGTTTTAAATTCTCTCTGTCCAGACTCTGTCAGGCTGGTGGATGGGACTAGTCTGTGCTCAGGCAGACTGGAGGTGAAGTCTGACCAGTCTAACCAGTGGTGGTCTATCACAGGGACACATTACAATCCATAAAGTGTATGAGTAGTAGGAAATTCTGTCGTCTGTCTGTCAGTCAGACTCAATGTTGCTCCAAAATGATCTCACTATGAGGTAGGTATATGTCCACTCCCAACGCAGGAGGACCGACCCACGCACAATGCAGGCAGGGCATACCGGTTCAGATAACAGATTACATCAACATAATTGTGGGAGAAAACACCTTTGGGATAGTGATGACTGTCCATGTGTTGATAGATCCAATCAGTTCATCATCGACAACAGAGAAGAGACAGATCGATGACATATAGACTCTGCTGGTGGTGACCAACGCCCTCATATTTCTACTGATAGATACTGTCACTGTCTGCTTGTTTGTACAGGAAACTAGACTGGAATGAACACTCCAGTCTGTGTTTATTGAACTGACTTGAGGACTCATGCTGTCTTGTCTCTCCAGGCCTGCAGGGGCAGAAATCCGGGCAGACGGAGAACAATCGAGCAGGAATGATATAACCATGGGTGTATCCCTACAAGCTGGAGGAGGTCCGACTGAAGAGGAGGAGCTCAGGGCAGAGTAAGCCTCCCAAGACTATGACAAATGGATATGTCGAGTTTAGCGTTATGATTTTGTGCAAAGATATATGTGCAGCGGCTCAAGCTGGAAGTATTCAAATACGCAATTAAAGCTCAGAAATAATATATAATTCTACAATTCAAATAGGTCCCCGTGCGACTGAGTCAGTGCTAGGGCCCAAACTAGATTTGAAAGCAGGAATACTGAGGTCCAAACACACAATTCAAAGCCAAGACACACCGACACTCGGATTGTCATTTTGGAACAATATTGGCCAAGTAATTTAAATATTCAAGTGAAAATAAAGTGAAACAAGTCATGGTATCTAAATCTAAAACAGTTTGTTAATCTATTTGAATGACGTTGATACATTGAATCACTGAGATTAAGAGGAACAACTTGTTCAGGACCACCTGTTATGATAGATCTGGAGCACACCAGCGATTGGATGGAACAAAGCATGCTGCCATTATGGAGAAATCTGTTTAT